AATCCTAGTCCCCACATCATCATCTGCTAGACATTTTGGACTTGATATTCCATAGGTATTTCAAATTCAACACGTCCAAAACAGAACTCATGACCTTTTCTCCACCAATACACCCATTTTTCTAATTTCTCTCTTTCCAAGGTACCTTCCCTCCTCTTTCCAAGTACCCATGTTATCAACCTTGGAGTGATCCTTGACTCCCTTACTCCACATATCCAATAAGCTGACAAGTTTTGTTGATTCTCCCTCCACAATATCTCTCACATCTAACTCCCTACCTTCAGTCACACAGCCACCACCCTAATTCAAGCCCTTATCATCTCTCGCTGAGACTAGGGCAAGTGTCCTAATTGATTTCCCTGCCTCAAGCCTTGCCCTTTTCCAACACATCCTCAACATGGTTACCAAAGTGATATTCCTAAAACAAAATTCTGACCATGTCACTTCTTTGCTCAAAAAACTCCCCTGACTCCCTATTGCATTAAATACAAAATACTATATTTGGCATTTAAAATCTTTTACAAACTGACTCCTATCTACCTTTCCAGACTTAGTACATCTTTTCACACATGCGGCCAAAAGGGTTTTTTACTATTGTTCCTTATCTATCCCATTCAATCTCTGTCTCAGTGCCTTAGCTCAGGCTATCTTTATGACTAGAAGTCATCTCCTCCCTTGCTTCTTTCAAAGCTCAGTTCGATTGCTACCTTAAGGCTTTCCTAAACCTCACTGATTGAAATTATCTTGTATTAATTTTGCATATAGATTAGGGAGCAGACTTGTGATTTTACTGGCATTTGGAACTCCCATATGATAAAATCCCTTCTACTCATGCAGGTCGGGTCCTTCTCTGCCAGTAAATAATTTGAGAAAGCTGTCTAGAGCGCTAAAGATAACCCCTGTGACTCAGGGTCACATAGTCAGGACTTGAACCCAAATCTTCCTGACTCCAAAGCCAGTTCTCTCTATCCACTCTACCACATTATATTTACTTCACAGAAAGATTCTGTCAGGCCCCATGGATAGCAAGCTGGCCTCAAAGCTAGGAAGACTTGGAATAAAATCCTGCTTCTGACATACTGGCTAGGTGACATTGGGTCAGTTTATTTCTCAGTGCTCCAAGGCATCAGACACATGGCCCACAGGCTGCTTGTTGGCCCACAACATTCCCCAGTGCAGCCTGAACCACATGAAAATGCAATTGGGAAATATTTAATAAAATACTTAACAAAATAAATAAAAATACAAGAAAACATAGACAATACTAATATGTGGTTTTCTAAGTCAATAAGCAGCCCACAGGGATGCTTGTGTATGGTTTCGCGGCCCTTATGTCGATTTGAATTTGATACCACTGCTCTAGGTAAGAGGATAAATTGCAGAGAAAACGCTGACCATTACCTACATTGTTAGAGGAAGTTTCCATACTCAGGAGTTTTCTATTATCAGAGAAAGCACAGGTCCAAGTCTCTATTCCTATATTTTGAATATATTTTCATGTAATTATGTTGTCTCCCTCAGTGTAAAATAAGTTTCTTTAGATCAGGGACGGTTTCATTTTGGTCTGACCCATAATAGGCACTAAATAGATATATGTTGGTTATTTGATCAACTGAAGAAGTAATTAACTAATTAAGGGCAAGGCTAGCATAAAAAGCCTAGATTCTCCATAATCAAAGGATATAAAATAAGCCAGACAAAAATCTAACAACAGTTCCACACAAAATTAACTACATCAATGTTCAGCAGTTAACCTAATTTTCCAAGGAGTCAGTTTCATGTCCAAGATGACATGAGTTTGTATACTGATAGACTTTCATATGACAGTGAAATAAATTATTGGTTTTATTTTCATTTCCCAGGACTTCAAATTACATCAACATTACTTCTTCAGAGGGACAAAGAGCATAATGCTTTCTTGACTTTAATCCCTCAGCTAAAACACCTGAAATACTGTCAATTAATATGACTTTTCCAAAGCCACTCTTGTCATAGAGTTCAGGGTAAAGAGAAACTTGGCACACTTGGTCACTCTTCTATGTTGTTTAAAAAGAAAAAATATGGACTAGGCATAGCAGAAAACACTTACTTGACTTTGCACCTGAATCTTACAGGACAGAACCCAGGCAGCTACAATTATGTATTTACACCACTACCAAGATAGACACAAATTCCCCAGGGCCACACTGGATTGCAGTAAGCACAGTATGTTTTTGCTTTTGCAATCAGCCCTTTAAAAAGAAAAGTGTGTTTCAAATGCAAATATGTTCTGTGCTGGTTCCATTCAGGGTACCATTAGAGAGTATCAAAGTTTTCAAGAGCCTCCCAATGATAGGCAAAGGAGAAAGGTACAAGATGGTGCCTATAACATAGCATCTTTCCCCAGGGCAGATGCAATCTTACAAGAGGCCTTTAACCCTCTAAGATTCTGTGCTGGGAACACTAGGCGCTGTCATGCCACAAACAAGCATTTGGCTAATCACCAACGTGATTCAGGAGAAAGTACAGGATGAAAATCAGGTTAAGAGGGTACATTAGATGCATGATGTTTTGATGTAATTTTTTTTTACCGGTCTATAAAGGCAGGAACTGGGTAATTTTATGTTCTGTTAAGGACTCAGGAAATGGCTGAGGCTTAATGCAATTTAAATAGATTATAATAACCTCACATTATATATAACCTATAGATTATAATAGATTATAATGCAATTTGAATAGATTATAATAACCTCACATTCTATATAGATTATAATAGATTATACTAACCATGATTATAGATTATAATAAATGGATTCTAATAACCTCACATATTATAATATAATAGATTATGATAACTTATGTTCACTACTCTTTTTCCTTGACTTCTTTCTGCTCCCTCCATCCAAACCTCCCCATTTTTCCTTTCTTCAACAATCTCTGCCATTTCACAGACACTGAACATCACGTGAATCTACAAAATATTACTGGGAGGAAAACAGAGGGGAAAGTTGTGTTGCCATTTTATAGTTGAGCCATGGAGAGAATTAGCACTTGCCTAAGATCATCCAGGAAGCTAGATGGCACAGTGAGTCAGGAAGACCAGAGTTCAAATCCAGCCTCAGACACTTAGAAGCTGTGTAAGCCCGGGCAACTCACTTAATCTCTGTCTCCTTCAGTTTCCTCATCTGTAAAATGGGATAATGATAGAACTTACCTCCCAGGGTTGTTCTGAGGATCTGATGAAATATATGTAAAGAGTTATGCAAACCTTAAAGTGCTATACAAATGCTAGTTGTTATTATTTAGCATTGTGAGTACAGGTAGGAATGATATAGTTTTCCTGACTCTCAACCCAGTACTTTTCACATTAGACATTGATTACATTCAGCTTATATTTAAACTGGTAGCCCCCCAAGAATTTTGGCACCCAAGGCTTCTATAGCAGATATAAAGGGAAGGGGAAAGCACACTGAACAATCTAGATTAGGGGTTGACAAACTATGGCCTGAATGGACCAAATCCAGTCCACCACCTGTTCTTGTATGGTCTGTGAGCTAAGAATGGTTTTTACATTTTAAAATAAAGTTTTATTGTATTTATTATACATACAGTGTTGAGATGTGGTAGACTAGTTAGTAGTACCCCTGGAAATTCATGATGGAATCTGACATCAGCGTTAAATATTCAGTCAATAAATATTTATCAAATGCCTAGTAAGTGCCCGGAAAAGCAAAAGAGAGTCCCTGCCCTCGAGGAGTGTGGTGAGCTAATAGTGGCATTAATCTATAAAAACAAACAAACAAGAAGGTGTCAATGTGGACATGTTTGGGGGTGAGGAGGCAGATTCCCGTATTGCTGTTCCTGTTTTAGGGTTGGGCCCAAGTTACTGTTCATTTCACTACTAGGAATAGTGGAGCAAGAAGAGTGAAGATCAGTAGCCCTGGCTGCCATCCCATCTGGACCATTTCCAAACATTCTTTCTATTAACATCTTTGCAAAGAGTCCAAGAATCTGAAGATAAGTAGTCACAAAGTTTAAGAAAACTTAGCTCCCATGCTCTGACCAGTCAAAACTCAATTCCCTGATAAAAAAGACAAATGATATGCTCCTAAAACATGAGCAGAGACACAGTCTCAGTGATTAGTTAAAAAATCCAAATCTTTGGCTACTACTACCCATCATTCCAATTTGAGTCTCCCAAACAAAACAAACACTCTAGGAAAAGTTATTGATTGATAGCTATACCCCCAAGGAGGTCAAAGAGAGAAAGAAGGGTTCTTTATGTACCAAAATATCCACATAAGCACTTTTTGTAGTAGTAAAAGACTGAAAAACAGACAAGTGCCCATCGACTGGGGCTAAACAAGCTAACCAAATCGTGGCACATGGATGTAATGAAATATCATTGCACTCTAAGAAATGGTAAATGGAAGATTTATGGATGCAGCATAAAGCAAGGAGAGCCAAGAAAACAATATACATGATGATTATAACAATGTAAATGGAAAGAACAATAACAACAAAAGAAACTAAATGCTATGTTAATTGATAAGGACCATTGATCTCCCAAAAAGAGATGAAAAAAATGTATGTCACTTGATTCTTTGCAGAGGTGAGATATCATGAGGGTCACAGTCAGATTTTGTTGATGTGCTTGTGAATTTCACTGAACTGCTTTTATTTCTTCTTTAAAAAATTTTTTTAAAGGGATGGCTCATCGAGCATGGGAGGGATGAGAATGAAGGTAATGTAAAAATCCCTAAAACACAGCAATAAAAATGTTTAAAGAATTGGATCAGTCAAACCAAGATGGAAAATTGCTGTAGATGACATAGTAGCAGGAAGTTTGCCAGCACTTTTAAAAACCTAATTTTTTTTTCATTTCTCTTATTCTCTCCTCATCTCAACCCAGTTTCTAAAACCGAAAGCAGACTCAGAACCAGAAGAGTTTGGTCAAAAGAGACCACCAAAGGAGTACATGTCCAGCGCTCTTCCATGCTGGACTAAATAGTATGACCCACCTTTGTCCAAACATCAGTGTGGACTTGGTTTCAGCTTCGTTGAAAATAGAAGGAGAACAGCAAATTACAATGGTGGTTCTGCAATTCCCTCCGAGAGAATCCTGAAGGATCCGGGTCATCTTACTGTCTCGGTATGGTACATGAGTTTTCTAGGAAAGAAAGTGGGAAAGGGATTGTTAGTTTGTATGGTTTTTCAGGGGGGGGGCAGTATTCTCCCCAAAACTTCTAATTCTATGAAATCTACAAAGGTAAGAGGGGCAGTGATAGGATATAATGAGTTTGAAACTCATTTGAAACAATTAGCATAGTGTAGTGGATAGGGCACTGGACTTGGAGCCAAAAGAACCTGGATTCAATCACTAGTCATATGCCCTAGGTAAGTCAGCTTAACCTCTTTATGCCTCACCTGTTTTTGGGGGTTGGGGGGGAGTATTGGACTCAGTGGCTTCTCAGGTCCCTCCTAGTTCTAAATCTGTGATCTATGACCCGGTCTTTGGTCCCTGCTAAGTCTCACCAGATCATTCTATTACTGTGGTCATAAGCAATTAACATTCACCATTCACAGATGCTAAAATATGGTGCAATAATGGCAGAGAGTTCACAGCCAATATCCCCTTTGTTTCCTCCTAGCACAGAAAAACAAATTCATCTCTTAGGTGTGTGGCCAACTACCATGAGGCCTTTCTTGTATTACCATTTAATAGCATGTGGAAGGATTACTTACTGTTCCCTCTGCCAAGGCAGAGATCACGTTGCCCAGAGCAGACAAAGACTTATTGATATTTTTAGCTTCATCAAGAACTGCTCCCTCTGCTCCAGTTTTGCTGACCTACCAGAAAGAAGAAAAACCAATGAGCCTCATCTGACAACAAAGACTTGAGAGGAGGGAAAGAAAGCAAATTAGCATAAAGGCCAAGAGGCATCCTCCTGGAGCGTGAGTCAAAATAAAAGGAATTCATTTCTTTCCATAGGAAAATAAAGGCCATTTCAAAAGACCATACTTCTTCAGTGTGACTAGGGATTTGTTGCAGCTTGTTTTCATTTTCCCCTCAATTAGTTTTAAAGGAAACTGCTGAAATGCTTCAAGTTGTAGCCATGTGGATACATCCCCTGGTACTCTCTCCATCCAGGGAGAGGCTGGCTCTTGAGGGACTGGGCATCACATACTTAGTGCACTTCAGACTCCCCAACAGCTCGGAAGGCAGCAACCCTCAGGGCCCAAAGCATCCAGATTGAAGGATTTTTTTCATCACTCTCTGCTGTAAATAAAGAGGTTAAGAAAACTGGGCAATTGATAAGGACAAAAATTCCAGCTGTAAGACGATCTTAGAGCGTTCAAGGTTTTCCCTCCCCTTCTCCATTTCTTCTCACGGCAAACAACAAAGAATGAATAGAAAAAAATGTCTAAGGCAGGGGGAAAAAGCCTTGAGAGAGAAAGGAATTTCAAGTTCAGCAGAATTACACTGTATGGGTTTTTTTTTCTTTTAGTAAGCTTTTAGAGAGGAAAGTCCAGTTCTCCCTCAATGCTGAATACACTCATTGCCACACAACGGTTACTAGACAATTTCTATTCCTGGAGCACATACTAAGTATGCTGCGTTTTAATGAGTATTTCAGAAAAGATAACCTGTAGTTCACATAAGATGGCTTATTATTCCAGAGACTGTGACCAGCTGGGATCTTAGTGACAAACCATCAACTCCCCAAATATGATGGCAATTAAAAAAACTTGATCAAGAAGAACTTCTTTTTATTATAAGGGGAAGGATGGGAAATGTGGATGACGAAAAGACAAAAGATAGCAATAAAATTTTATGTAAAAAAATAGTGGGCTCCCAGGGAAGATCTTCAAAAACGAGGTCATTAAAACTTGGAAAGAGTTAAATGACCTGATACAGACTGTACAACGTACGATGATCAATTCTGAATGACTTAGCTATTCTCAGCAATACAATGATCAAAGACAAGTCCAAAAGACTCAGGATGAAAAATGTTATCTACCTCCAGAGAAAAAACTGATGATATCTGAATACAGACTGAAGTATACTATTTTTCCACTTTCTTTCTCTTTTTTGGTTCGAGTTTTCTTCCACAAAATGACTAATATAGAATGTTTTACATGATTGTATATGTACAATCTATATCAGATTGCTTACCCATCTCAGAAAGAGGGCAGGGGAGGAAGGAAAGATAGAATTTGAAACTCAAAACTTAAAAAATGATTATTAAAAACTGTTTTACATGGAATTGGGGAAAAACAAAATATTACTTGAAAAATAAAAATGAGGTCATTGTTTGGAATGGTTTCATTGTAGTTTTGCATGAAGATAGAGGGGAGCAGAGTAGCTGATGCTCCTAAGAAAGAAAGTTCTTGCCACTAATGATATCTTGTAACATTTACACAGTTCTTTCCCAAGTTCTTTCAAATACATCCTCTCATTAGATTTTCACACGTGCCTGGCCACTTTTAGAGGCAAAGGGGGATAAAGGAGTGAAGCTCTGGGGCGAAGCACTTATTTCAAATGCATCATAAATGTTTATTATTAGCAGTAATCATTATCAGCACCATGCAAAGGAGCAGCATCTCTCATCAGAGCTGTTAATGTGAGAAAGAAGCCATCTGTATGGCTCCTCAATTAGACTGTCAGAAAATAGCTGTGCTTAACGTACAAGTGGGGGCAATGAGAGGTAGGACAATAGGGTCCCTACATGATATCCCCAAGGCATGCTAGCCCACAGGTAGATGGGATCATACCGCAGGAAGAGTCTACTGAGTATCCATGCCCTTTTCCTTGGCTAATCATTATAGTGGAATAAAGTAGTACTGATCCATTATTTCTACAACCCATCTAATTAAAATCAATAAGTCCCTGCCCAGTAACTTTTTTCTTCATTACTAATAAGGAAAAGCCCACTCTTTTCATGCTTGCTTCTGTACAAACATTGCCTTGCAATACTAAATCAGCAAACAAACAAGAAGGTTTCAAGCTATTAAGTTTTTAAAAGCGAAATGTAAATGTACTTCTTCTCCTCCCCCTCTGTGGATATGGAAGACTATGGGTCTTGAACACAGCACACAGTGTCACCCGTGGTCCATGTCTTAGTTGGTTTTGCCCAACAGCTTTCTTTTTCTGTTTGTTCTTCATTACGAAGGGTAGCTCATTTGGTAGGTTAAGGGATGTATGAAGAAATAAATGTCATCTTAAAATGAAAGATAGCAACAATTTTTTTGTATTGCTTTTAAAGCAAAATGCTCCCATGCACTGTTCTGGTAGTCAGCTTCCATTTGCTCTTCAGTTCACGTTTGCTTTTCCCTTATTCCTATTGCTTCCTTCTCCAGGTTTATTTCAGACTGAGGGTTTTCTAATGTTCTCATTAGATCCTATTAAGCTTAAATCAGTGTAGGCCATCAAGTACTTTTTCTGTAAAGATTGAAAGGAGGGCTTTGCACCAGAAAATGGCACAAGAAAATAAAGGTTAAATTGAGTTACTTCTTGGATTAACTTCTGTGACTGAGGAAACTTTTTAAAATCAGGAATTAGGATGGCACTGAGTCCAAACCATTTTGTACATGGAAGCAAATAAATTAAAAATAGAAACAACCAATTACCTTTTCACTCCCAGCCAAGTCAACCAGATAAAGCTTTCCACTGAGTTTTTTTTCAGTCTCTACATTTTCTTGTTTAATATTGATCAGGAAGATGCTGTGACTCCTAGAGCTGTGCTCATTCATGTCTAAAAGGAAAAAAAAATATTTCATCGCACTGCAAAAAGCCCAAAGATAATCATATGTCCATTTGCTAGTTTAATACTCAATGGATGTCATCTTCATGGATGAGTGAGGCAGGATTGAATATGATTTCATAGGAATATAGAGATTCCCTGATTAGAAAACTCCCTCTACTAAGGCAGATGGGCATCGCTCTGAAGCTTCTAGTCTCAGAGAATTGTGTGGAGCACTGAGAGCTTAAATGACCTGCTTAGGGCACACAGCCAGTGAATGTCAGAGATGGGACTTGAACTCAGGTTTTCCTTAGAGACTAGCTCCATCCATGAGGTAATGCTACCTCTCTCAGCCACAAATCAGAACAGAAGTTAAGTTTTCCCTTATATTACAGTCTGCATCTGCTTGTCTACTGCTCCCATCAATAAAGTCCAGTTCAATAAACTCCGATAGCTCCCTAATACCTTGAGGATCAAATATAAAATCTCCCCTTTGAATACTCTTGTACCTTTTAAAGCCCTTCATAACCTCACCCCTTTCTATCTTTCCAGTCTTCCCCTCCATGTATGCTTCAATCCAGTGACACTGACCTCTTTCTTGTTCCTTGCATTAGACACCCCAATCTCCCAACTCCAGAGCATTTTCACTGGCCTAGAACTCCCTCCCTCCTCATCTGTACCTCCCAGCTTCCGTCAAGTGTCTGCTAAAGTCTTACCTTCTGCAAGAAGCCTTTTCCAGCCCTCCTTCAACAATACCTGGCCTCTGCAGATTATTTCCAGTTTACTCCGTTTTATCTTGTTTGTATATGGTTGTTTACACATTGTCTCCTTCATTACACTGTCAGCTCCTTGAGAGCAGGGACAGGTTTTGGCTTTTCTTTGTATCCCCAGAGCTTAGCACAGTGCATGGAACACAGCAGATATTTCATTGAGGCTAGCTGACTGCCTGACTGTTCCGAGATCTACCTTCTAAGGCAAAGCAAAATAAGTCTAATCTCTCTTCTACATGATAACCTTTCAAATACTTGGAGACATCTATGATACTTCACTATCTTCTCTTTAGATTAAAACCCCATTTTCTTTGCTCAGACCTTATACGGAATGTTTTCCAGTCTTTCCACCAGTCTGGTTGCCTTCTACTAGACACTCTCTTGCTTACTATAAACGGCATTCTTAAAACATGACATCCATCACTAAGAGATGACCTTGCAGTTATGACTGCTAGACAGGAGGTCGGAAGTCACCTTCATCCCAGGGAATTACTTTATGGTTGTCAGACTTTGAGACAGTTAATTTAACAGTAGTTAACTGTTAACATGGTCTTCTTTTTTCTCCCCAATTGTACCTGACTTCATTATTGGTACTGATATTTTAGACAAGTGATACAATGCTTATATCCTCAGTTCCATAGTCAAGGGTGTATGGAGTTGCCTGAAACAAGCTAGATGAGAAAAGTGGAGTTATATCATAGATGAATCATTGGATGTTTTTTCAAAGTGCTTTTCTAGCTGTGGTGACAGTTTGGCTCTACTAGAGAAAATATTGGAGTCAGAAGGCCTGGGTGTGAGTCCTAATCCTGTTACTAACTCCAAGTCATTCAATAAGGAATGGCACTTGACTGATCTATCTCACTGGATTGTCACAGTAACCAAAGAAATAATGCATGCAAAGCCTTTGTAAACTGTCAAGCACAGTGTAAATGTGGGCCACCATCATTTTGACCTCATTTGAATCTGGAAACAACTTTGTCAGTCAGGGAGGAACTCCTACCCTGGCTACATGAGGAAATTGAGGGACACTTTTAAAATAGAATCCTTACTACTTACTTGTCACAGCCACATGGCGATTTGCTTTTCCTTCATCGATGACATCCATGACTTCTTCAGGGCTTGAGACAAATCGTTCTGTGCACCCCTAGAAGAGAGTTGATCCAGGTTTGACAAGGTTTTTATCTAAAATGTCCAAATACTTTCCCATATCATCTTCTTGAGGACAGGTAATTCAGTAAGGCAACACTATGGTTCACACAACTTCCTCTCCTTGCCTAGTGCCAACTTTCTACATTAAGAGAGAAGTCTGAGCAATCCTTCAGCAAAGAATAAACCATCATAGAAACATCTATATTTACTAGATGTTTGGGTACAACTAACTCAAAGGCAGAGGGACAGGAAATCAAAAGAAGAAAATTAAATAGGTAGGGTGCATAAAAGCAGCAGGTTTTTCTTTTTCATCTATCACACGGAAACTTTTTAACTACCAACTCAAATTTAACCAGACAAACTCAAGTTATGGGATACATTCATTGTTGATATTACTGCAATATAGAAATTCTTCTGGTCTGCAATAGCCACGCCTGCATTGCATTCCAAGGACATTGATCCCTTCAATATTCTCTTAAACGATCCCTTCAATGTTCTCTTAAATGTCATTATTAGATATTCGACCAAATTTACAGCTTTTAACTATATGCAAAGCCCATTGCTAAAGAAGAGATAAAATTTAGAAAATTAATATTTTTAAAAAATAATATTAATTATAAAGAGCATAATTTAAAATCCATATATATTTTAAAGATGTTTAGGGAGCTTTAAATAGTGCATAAACAGTTTTAGCAGTGACCAGAAAAATAGACTGCATCACCAATCAAATGTGTGACTTTGAGAAAGCCACTGAGCTGTTCTGGACCTCAGTTTCTTTATCCGTAAAATGAAGGCTTCGCACTAATTAGGATCTGAGGTCCCTTCCAGATCTAGATCTATGAAGTCTTCCTCATACCTTTACATATGGGACTCTGTTTTTGTCTTCATGTACAGCCAGGTTTGTCTTGGATACTACCAGGAGGAGAATGACAGCATGCAATGCAAAGAAGAAAAGAAGAATTAAAGAACCATCATTTGGGGCTGGAAAGAGGTGGAGAATTGGAAGCAAGTACAGCAGAACACTAAACAAATTCAATCTCTTTTTAACATCATACCTTTGATGTGATAAAATTGCTAAAAGGTTCATGAAGAGTAACAAGCCAGAGTAGCTTGCCTTGAGGAACACATGTGAGGTTTGTTCTTTAATAAAATCAAAGACCTCTGGTTTTGGCGTCTCCAAGTTTCTTTCAGACATCACTCACAGTAACTTAAGGCAGAAAGAAACAAAGTAACCTTAAAAAAAACCCACAGTACCTAAATTCCTAAATGAGATATTTGGCTGCAAATTTGAATTATTCCGCTTAATATCTCCAGACTGTTTTACCTTCCTTCTTCTCTAGTTACAATGCAAGTAAAGGATATTCATTCAGATTACTCACCATCAAGTAAGTCTCTTATTTTGTCCAAGTAGATCTCAAAATAGGAAACCTATTTCAAAACAAATGGAGTTTGGTATGGAAATAAAACTTCACATCTCAAAAATGCCATTAGCTTACTTTTTAAAAGACTGTTATCTAAAGAATGGTAGGGGTACTAGAGAAAAGGATCTTAACCAGATTGAACTAGTTCTCTTTTTTCTAAACCTACCCATTTTCTCCATTGATCCATTACCTGATTATATACTGACCCTTTTATTACCTTCAGCATCACAACTCCCCTAAACGTTTGTATTTCATATTTGTATTCCATGTTAGCAAAATGCATGCTAATGGAACCAAACTTTGTATACTTGAGAACGTATTTCTGGGCATAGACATAGACATAATATAAAACATTCTTGCAAATAGTTTTTAGAAATCAGTAGAACCTGCTAAAAATTCAGTTTGGGAAATGAAGTAGATTGATCTCATGTTAAATGTTGATTATCTTACCAATCTTGGGCACTCGTGGTTAAGACAGTACTTTCAATACCCTTTCCTTTCTGGTTTTCATGACACTGCTCCTCTATTGTTTCTCTTGTGACTAGTCTGACCACTCCTCTTCAAACTTATTTACTGGACCTTAATCTGTGTCACAGCCACACTAATTGTGGGCATCCTTTTATAAGCTCTGTCCTGGACCCTTTTTTCTCTTCTCTCTATATTCTATCACTTGGAGTATTATCATCACCTCTCATCGGTTCAATTGTCATGTCTATGCTAATGATTCTCAGATCTATGTATTCAGCCCTATCTCTTTAACTCCAATCCTATTAGAAATTTCCAACTAAATGTCCCACAGGCAGTTCAAACTCATCAAGTCTAAAATGGAACCCTTTTATCTTTTCTTCCAAACCTGGTCCTCTTCTGAACTTTTCTATTACTGTGACAAGGACTAAAACTGTTCCAGTCACTCAAATTTAAAAGTTCTATATAATCCTCAACTCCTCATGCTCATTCGACATACATATATCCAATAAATTTCCAAATTTTATCATTTTTACCTCCACAGCTTCTCTTCATTCCTTTCCCTTCATTCACACAACAATCACCCCATCTCTGGTCCTCCATATCACTCAACTGGATTACTGTAATAGTCTTCCACTAGGTCTCCCTGCCTCAAGAATCTCCTCACCTAGTCTAGCCTCCAAACCACTGTACACTTTTTTCCTAAGGTATATGTTTGACTATGTTAACCCTCTACTCAATAAATTCCAAGGGTTCCCTGTTACCTTTAGGATCAAATATAAACAAATTTGTTGCACTTAAAGCTCTTCACAATTTGGTCTCATCCTACCTTCCAAGTCTTTTTTTGCTTTCTTCTCTAAAGTTACTTTCCATTTACTCTATACTTATCTTTTATATACTTATTGATATTCAAGTTGTCTACCACTCTAGAACATAACTTTCTTGAGGGCAGAACTGTTTGTTTTGTTTTGTTTTTCCGAAACACCAGGGCTTAACACAATGTCTGGCACATAGTAAACATTTAATAAATGCTTGCTTGCTTAATTTATCAATGCTCTTTGCCCCAGATCACAATGCCAAGAGACCAGTAGTAGTCCTAAAAGATTAGTCACTGAGTATCTACGTGAAGTGATCAATGTTAGTTTGGGGAAGGTATAGGGAGTGAAATGAAAGAGACTTGGCATAGGTTGTGGTGACTAGACTTGGAAGATCCAGCTGGGGTTAGAAGGTAATATGTTCTATTGGAAAGAACATGTGACTAGGTATCAGAAGACAAGGGTTGTCATCCTGGTTCTGCATCAACCATCTGTGTGACCTTGGACTAATCACTGGGCCTTAGATTCTGTATCTGTCAAATAAGGGAGTCAGACTAGAGATCTTAATGGATCCTCTTTCTACCTACAATAATTTCTCTCTTCCCCAGAATATTTATCTCTCTTTTCTCTTTCCTCTCTCTATCACTCACATTCAGTCAAAGATTCCCATGAAAGTCAAACAATGGAGTAATGAGGAGAGGTTGAATATGTTCTTTTTAATTCAGACGTTTTGCCAACTCCATTAGGCTTTTTCTGGTGTGTCTTTAGCATTCTGGGTATATGGCCTTATTTTCATGGTTAACACAGAAAATGTATTCTAGATTAAGATCAAACTAGAGATAACTAACAACTTCATTAATTGGGATTGTGTTTAGATTTCTAAGTTCAAGTCTACTCATTTGTTAGTTTTAATTAACTTCTCCGAGTTTCATTAAAGTCATTTCATCTGTCCACAAATTATAATGGGTTGGAATTTTCATAGCTATGTTTAATTTCATGTCTTCCATTTTATCTCAGGAACCCAAGTTTAGCTAATGTTTTCACAGACCAGTGGATATAAAGCAAGGTACGAGACTCTCACTAGAGCTGGCAAATGATTATCCTTTACAATGCATATAGAGAGGATTGTTATTCATTAAGAGTTTTTATTGTGGACACTAGCTATTTTTAGGAATTAGCTGGAACATACAAAACCAATATCAAAACTCTCATTTTAAGAGGAAAACTGTCAACAACACATTAATCAAACTTCCATTTCTGCTCTAAGAAATTGCTAACATGTAATCAACCTTTAATACTTGTATACTCCGAATAAAGCTCCAATAGCTAATTTATCCACTTTTAGCCATCTGTAATTCTAGTCAGTTTCAAGACTAATGAATACAACATTTGTCAAGGCAAAAAAAAAATCCTAAATCTAAAACTTCAGTCCTTGGTGCTTAAAACAAATTCTTCACTTCCTGTCATGGCTGGTTTTACCTTAATAAGATTCTTAAGGGCAATAATTGGTTCAACATCTCACTCAGAATTAATAAGGAAGGACTGTGTCAGTGTTTTGAAAAATGTAAGTAATAAAAAAAGGGGGGGAGAAAAAAATGTAAGTAAAACTGCCATGGAGATATACTAAACACCTAAATCTCAATCCCTTCAAACAAAGTTACAGGCTTCTACTTCCTTCTGTCATCAGGAACCCCAGAAAGGCATGAATCAAATACTTATCAGGATTCTGGTCAAAGGGAGGTATAGAAGAACAATACTTTTATTCCAGGTATAAGACACAATTGAGAATCAACTACCACTGTATTTTAGTGAAACATGGTAAAGTGAGCAGGATAAAAACAAGTATGATTTTATAAAGGGATCTAGAAGTTCTTCTTCAATTTGATTTCACAATTACATAGTTAAGATAAAAAAAGTGGCAGCCTAAGTCAAACACAAATTCTAGGCACACATTTATACAGGGTGAAAAGCCAAATTAAGGGGGCTATCCAGATGACTCTAGTGAGAACATACAGAAAATGTCACTACTACTGATTTTGTTTTTAATTGGTAGCTCCAGCTAAGTTACATATTTTAACCCTAAATATGCAAATGTCTATTTCTTTCTCTACTTTGTACATAACAAGACAACTAAAGAGTTTGCTCCGATAATAATTTTTAATGACTTTGGTCCAGTCACTTGACATGATTTATATTTATGTTTCTTGCACTGAAAATATAAAAGGCAGATTCATGATCTTTAATCACTAGATCAGTCTCAGAACTCAGCTAAAGGTCAAAGCCCTGGCATGGCTTTCCTTCTCAGAACCCAACTAAGAGAACTTCTATCCGCACTTACCTTGATATGAAACTCCAGGTTTTCATCCATAGAGTAAATATGATCAAAGATATCATGTGCAATTCTTGGGATGATTCCCATAAGTTGATGGTCATGCAGCTTCCCCTAATGATATGAAAGCAAAATGGAACAGGTAAATTTAGAAATGTATATAGAAGTTAGGGGGGAGAGGTAGGGGGTGGGGTGGCTGTGTGTGTGCACATGTGCAAGTGTGCGCCTGGGTTTCTTCAAACATACCTTCCCTACATTGTAGCACTTGAAGGACTGGCTATAATAGCCTAGTGTATCTGTTTGACACTGAATATGAACAAAAGATGACATCGAATAACTGAGTGAATTATTAGTAATTTCCACCAAAAATTGGCATGTTTGTCAGTTTCTGAAACATAAGGATAAGAATCATTGGGGAAGCTTAAGTTTTGATATTTTTATTTAAAAAAAATTTAAAAAAAAGAAAAATAATAAGATTCATTACTTTAAAGACACATCTCCTATATACAAATATAAGTCTGGGAAAGGCAGCAGGAAAGAATATTTTAAGAGTTTCAGAAATTGACAGGATTTGTGCACTCCTGGAATAAATATCTTATTCTAAGACTGCAATAATCAGAAACGATAACCACTGACATATTTATACACACCAACATTCTGTATTGTCTGAAATAAATACTATAGTTTCAAAGATTTTCAAATCCTTTACAAAGCAACTTGAGGTGGTCTATGTCTCCCCTCCCACAGAGTGAACAGCTTTGTTTGGAGAGAAGGCATGACTCTAATCTTCTTTAGCTACTCTTCCCCCTCCTCCTCATCCTGTGGGGACCACGAGTGTAATCAGGAGCCACTGGCCATGTGTCCTTTAGCAAAGGGGTAGAACTAGATAAACTCGGCCCAGAAAAGGACCAGAACACAGGTGCATCTCCACACATGTGGCATTGGATGGACCCTGTCACACCAACAAGACTGGGAAGACTGTCATACCATGTGTGGGTACTGAACAATCCTTGAAATTTTTTGCTCCCAACTGCTCTAGTAAACAAAGGATTATTTTCACTGGGTGACCCAATACCTAGAACTCTCTCCCTCCTCCTCTCCTCTTCCTCATTTCCCTGGATTCCTTCAAGTCTCAGCCAAAGGCTCACCTTCAGCAATAAGCTTTTGCCAGTCTTCCTTAATCTTAGAGCCTTCCCTCCTCCCAAGTTATCACGTGTGTATCTTGTTTGTGCATAGCAGTCAGCATGCTGTCTCCCCCATTAGACTGTGAACTCCTTGAGAGCAGGAAATGCTTTTTGTTTGTCTGTCTGTCTTTCTTCGTATCTGCAGCACTTAGCCCAGCATCCGCTTGCCCCACAGTAATTCACTGTAGGCAGTGAGAGCCACAATTCCTCTTGTAACATTCAAGACTCAGACAGCAACCACCAAACCAAGACCAGCATTAATTCAATGTCTGATGCCCTCTCTCTCAAGCTCCTTTGTCTTTAACTACTTTGAATTTTATTCTCTTTTTGCTTATTCCTCCTATACTTATATATTTCCTTGCTGTCTCTCTCATTAGAATGTAAGCTCCTTTCCAGTAGGGACTATTTATGTCATTGTATTTGTATCGCCAGTACAAAGCACAGTGTCTGGCACATAGCAGGCACTTAATAAATGCTTGACGTTTGATCAAATGATTGATGTTATTAACCCATTTCCTCAACAAGCGTTTGCTGGCTTGATTTGATTAGGATAATTTGAAGTTCAGGAAACATGAAAGTACTTTCAGGGGATAATGAGAAAAAGACTTCTCCTGGACCACAGAAAAATTAACCAACTGATTTAAACCAACAAAAAATAGTGCACAACATCTTAGCGTCTGATTTCCCCCCAAAGATGAAGAGAGCTGACAGTGTATATTTTCCTTAAGCTTTTCCCATATTTTCCCAAAGTGACCTGAGAGTCTAGTAGTGTATAAAGAAAAGTAAACCCAATATCTATTCCCATTACCACAGAATAAAACTTCCTTCGTTCCAACTTGACTCCCATCCCACAATCTCTCAGGCAGGAGAAAATGTTTCAAATCATCAAAGAAGAGAAGATAAGGCAGCCAGTCAACTCATCCAGGAATCAATGTACCTCACTAAAAGCATTTGACAAGTAGAGGTTCACAGCCTAATAGTGTGACAAGCAAAGAAGACTAACGAAAGTGGATATATTTGGAAATTTGCTAATTTTAATTCTCTGGGCAGAATTATTATGTCCCTGCAATGCCATGCTGAAAGTAAAGGACACCATAGCAATGTGTCTATCTGTCTAGAGCAGGGATGCTTCTTAAAACTTCTTCCAGGGGGCAGCAGTGGATAGAGCACCGGCCCTGGATTCAGGAGGACCTGAGTTCAAATCCGACCTTAGATATAACACTTACTAGATGTGTGAGCCTGGGCAAGTCACTTAACCCCCACTGCCCAACCAAAAACAAAACAAAAACAAAAACAAAAAAAACAAAAAACAAAACAAAACAAAAAAAAAACTTCCATTCAAGACCCCTTCAGCGCTTCTTGAACTGTGGGTTACAAGACCACATGGGGTCGCAACCCACAGTTTAAGACGCTCCAGTCTACAGGACTCCTTAATAAAGTAAGATCTAGGCTGGAATTGGGGTTGTGGGGGAGGTAGGTGGGAAATTTTATCCAGAGCCATACCCTGAAAAAGAATGACACTACTTATTTCTTCCCTTCGGCAGAAGCACGTCAGACTGCCTCTTCGTGAGCGCAAGCTATAAAGACGTGAATCTCCACGTACTACTGTGTCCTATTAGGCCTAATACTAATATCATGGGTTTAATGCTTTTACTGAAAATCTTCCTTAAATGCTTTGCCTTAAGGAGCTAATCTCTCTAATTTTATGTAGGCTTATACATTTCCCCCTTCAATGGAAGTAATGGAATTATTACGGGATGTTAGCCCAAAAGAGGGTAGGAATTAAAACTGAATATTGCCTTGATTTGCATGTGACAATTCTGACCACTTTTGGGGAATTAACATGCCTCCCTAAAGTCTTTTTAAAAATAAGTATTTCTAATACTGAATATAAGTGATTTTTTAAAAATCCTACTCATAAAATGGTATAAACCCTGCAGATATTTTGATTTAATTACATTCCAAGTTAGTGGATTACTCCACTATTCTACCATCTGTGTGGGCTGAGCCTGTAGCTTCCCAGGAGGCAGAGAATACTTAATTAGAGAACACCACCAGTGATTAACCCCTCAGAAAGGGGGTAGGTTAGACCATACCCAGGAAGGGAACTGAAGAGGAACAGCAGCACATCATTACATGAAACCCCTTCGAGCTATCCAATAAGCACTCTATTTTTCACAAGCCACACTTGAAATAAATGTTGTTCTAATTCAAACCTTCAACCCACAGGGACAACCGTGGGATGGAATGAGCAACCTGCAGTCCAGATTTTTAAACTCAGAGGTAGAATAGAATCCAACTCCTCCTTTTCATTCTTGACAGGCAAACGGTACTGCTTTAGACATTCTTTAGCTTTCTGTGGATTACAAAGGGATTCTACCCTCAGAGAACTTAAGGTCTTTTAATGCTATTTGACTCTCTAGACCAAAAGCAGAATCTGAATTTAGGCTATACCTACAGTCAGTTATTTTTTTTAAATTAATGAGTAAAGGAAAAATTACTAGAGTTAGACATCAAAAGATGTAGGTTTAAGTAAACTCCACAGTTCAACAGCAGTTCAAGTAACAATTTCTCTGAGCCTCAGTTCTCTCATTTGTATAATGGAGTATAGTTAGACTTGTATTATGTACAAGGATAGATAGTTCAATCTATGTACTAATCTATCTAATATCTACTATAGTACTACTTATATTTAATGCTACCTACTTAATATAACCACTGTAAAGATGAAATGACAAAACGAAAATGACAAAAAAACACCATGATCTCACTGAGGTAGGGATATCCCCTCCTCTAATACAGATTAAAATCCTTCCATACCTTAGTAGATTATTTCATGAGTTGCTATGGACAAAAAAATTCATCATCTGGTGGTCAGTCTTTCAATGATATGACTTTCCAAATTCAGCTGGGTTGGTCGTCTGGCAGTAAACAAATAATCTTCTATCTCTTGGACTAGATATTCTCTAGGGTTCGTTTCAACTCTAATGATCCAAGATTATCCCATGATGAAGTCTTCCCAGATTGGTAGACCTACCAGAGCTTATATTCTACTGGCATAGCTTTCAAGAATCCAGAGTCATGCCTCAAGGAAGTATTATGATAGGACTATAGTGGAAGGAAACACTATATTGTTGTTCAGTCATTTCAGTTGTGTCCAACTCTTTGTGACCCCATTCAGGGTATCTTGGCAAAGATATGGAAGTGGTTTGCCATCTCCTTCTCCAGCTCATTTTACAGATGAAGAAACTAAGGCAAATAGGGTTAAATGACTTGTCCAGGGTCACACAGCTAGTAAGTGTTTGAGGCCATATTTGAACTCAGGAAGATGAGTCTTCCTGACTTCATGCCACCTAAGATGCCCCTTCACACTATATAAATATTATGATTATTTTTTTCTAAAACAAGTTTCTAGCTTGGGTAGGGGTCTCTGAATTAGTCAATTACAGTTTAAATATTCTATTAGATTATATCACAATTAAAAAATAGAAAAGTCAAAAGTGCTCTATCAAATAATAATCAGGAAGATCATGAGGATGATAGCTAACATCTACACTTAAAGGTTTGTAAAATGATTTCCATACATTGTTTTATTTGATTTTCATAATTCATAGGAGTAGGGTTATCTTCTTACACTCCATATTCTAAGTGAAACATTTATGGGTAACTAAACATTTAAGGACTGTGAAATCACCATCTCACAAGCTAAAACACTTCTGGAGCAGCCTGGCCTAGCTCAGCAATATTTTCAGGAGATGACTATAAATGAGAAGACCTAGGCACAAAAGATGAATCTGACACTACTCCTTGTGAGCTGAATTCCCTCAAATTTTGTTAGTATTGGAGTTTTAAAACACAGGACTGAAAACTGTCCAATGACATCCCTCCCAATTCCCACCCTAAGCAACTAGTAAGAAGTGTCTGAAATTTAGGATTCAAATGGGGAAATACCATCTAAACACTGACCACCACCCTGCAAAGAGAATCACACAAGTTAATCACAGAACTGACAATGTACCTGAAAATGTCACAATATACCATGCTGTCTCTCTACTGCTGTGGTGTGGCATTTTTTAGGTCATTTTCTTAAAGCCAATCTTATTATGCAGATGAAAAAACTGAGGTTCAGAGAAATTAAATGACTTGCCCAAAGTTAGGTGCTAAGTGGTGGAGTTGACTTACACCCACATTTTCTGACATTGAAATCTAGTATTCATTCCTTAAAACGAGGAAACTGACTACAGCTATATCCTAAAATCAGATCCTGCCTTTGGTTCGGAAAGCCAAAGGCTGTGTTTATTTAAAATCCAGAGAAGAAATCTGCACTTCAGGATTCAATGAAAGTTTCAATTCCATTCCTTTATCTAAATAAGTGAAATGTTCTTCCCTCTCATCCCTGCTCTCAACATCAATGCTATGGTCTTACCTCCATGGTATGGGTTTTTCCTGAAGAGGTCTGTCCATATGCAAAAATAGTCCCATTGTAACCTTCCAGTACATCTGCAAGAAAGGAAAATAAATGTACAATCCAGTTGTTTCTTTACTTGGTGTAGATTGTTAAATTTTATGTCATATTCAGCATACATTAGATTCTCAAACTTTTCAAGACAACAGAATATTTAAGAACCAAGTAAGAAATATTAGTACCTGCCTTCTCCTTCTATTCTGAAGACCAAAATGAGAGGGGAAATGGATTCAGGTTCTAACCTGATGAACCAAGGAATGAGGAGTTCATGAGAATGAACCGAGAAGTATTTTCTAAGTAAAGCTCTAAGATCAAGAGCTTGGAAGACACTCTGAAAGACCTTTTGAGGCCCCTTCTACAACCAAGTGTGCATGTGTATGTATGTAAGTCATAATATATTTATCATATATGATAAGAATATATATACTAATATAATAAAACTATATATATTTATTATATATGATAAGGATATGTATACTAATATAATAAAGCTATATATACAAATAGGATAAGGCTATATATATTTATTATATATGATAAGGATATGTATACTAATTTAGTAATTAGTATATATTTATTATTTATATAATTAATATTTAATCATTAATTAAATTAAAATTATATTAATTAAATATTTATATATATTTATTATATATGATGAGATATGCATACTAATTTAATAAAGCTGTATATATACACAAATAGGATAAGGCTATATATAGTTATTATATATGATAAGGATATATATACTAATGCAATATATATTAACGCAATAAAGCTGTATATGTATTCTTATTAGATCAGCCAAAATAAAGTCACAGGTGCTTTGAGTTTCTGGAGGACCACGCAGAATAAGATTTCATTCCTGGGATTTGATCTGTTTAGAATATTGGCTCCCAGTTAGATCCTTAGGGAATTCTCCTGTGAAAGTCCACACAAGAGCTTCCAAAGAATGGAATTCTTTCTGGGGCGAGGTAACAAGAGGTTTCAGTCTGTATAACAAGAAGCATGGCAACCACTGGCTGAGAGACCAAAAGGAGCTCTGACTTACATGTGAAAACCTCCTGTCTCCTCCGTGACAGTACTAGCAAGCTAGCCGGGCACATTAGCATCAGGATTTTTTTAAAAAATTATACAATGAGGGTGCTCACTGTGCAAACCCACACACACTGCAGGCCCTCTTCCATTTCACACAGGGAAAAGGAAAGGCACATGGAAGGAGGATGTTTTTCCTGAAAGAACTGAGCTTATCTGCAGGAAATGTTTCAAAGCAGCAGAGGTGATTAAAATATATTAGTAGTCCTTTTCCCCAGTTACTCTCAAATGCATACAAATATCTCAGAAAGTAAAAAGAAACATAATTATTCTCTCCAATGCCAGCTAACTTCACCTATGGAGAGGAAGTCTTAATTTGCCAAAGGGAGGGGGTAGGGGCAATGAAAGAAATCAATCAGGCAGGAAATCAACTCAATCCATTTAGATGACCAAATAGCTTTTAAGCCTCTGAGAGCTTGATATTATTTCATGATGCTGATTCAGATTTCCTATTCTGAAAGAGTCATCTTATTGATCCCAGGTTGATGGGCTTTGGGCTAAGACAGGAAAGAAAACAAGAGTTTTCGATTGGAATGACAGGGTGAGAGGGGAGAGAAGGTAATGGAGGAAATTATGTACAGAAGAGAAAGGAGAGGGGAGAATGGACAGGGGAGAGGAAAGGAGAGAGAACAAATGCTTGCTAGTTACAGGTAATAAATAGATCTAACAATCATGTGGTTTGGGGACAAGGGAAATTTTAAAACCTAATTGTCCACAAGAGCTTACGGCAGGCTATAACATTTTCACGCTTCTCAATCCTTAAGAGAGTTCATCTGATGATTGGGAGCATCAGGAGCCTATAAAAACACAGTATTAGGGCCATGGGCCCTATCTTCTATTTTCCTTACAATTTTAACTTATTTATGAGTAAATTTCTTTCATGCTCCTTAATTCAATTAACCAATCAGCAAGCACTGGTGTACCTGCAATGTACCAGGAACTAAACTGGTGGATTCATGTTAGTTTGTTTGGCCACTTTAAAATCATAACAAATACAGGAACTTCAGGGGGCAGAGCCAAGATGGTGGAGTAAAAGCAGTGACTTGCTTGAGCTCTCCCCCAAACCCCTCCAAATACCTATAAAAAATGGTTCTAAACAAACTCTAAAGCAGCAGAATCCACCAAAAGACAGAGTGAAACAAATTTCCAGTCAAAGATAGCCTGGATGATTGATCAGAAAGGTATATCGCGCCGGGCAGAGAGAGAAGTGCAGCTTGGCGTGGGCGCGCAGGCCTCAGAGGACTGAATGGCGGGCAGCTGTGGTGGTTTCCAGACTTCTCAACCCATGAACGCCAAAGACAACTTAGAAGGTCAGTGGGAAAAGTCTGTGACTGTGGTGGTGAGAGAAGAGCACAGGATCCCACCCCCATTCCTTGGGGCAGCGGCTGCTTCCTGAGCTTCGGGCCCACAGAATGAGGGGGAATCGAGTGGCTGATCAGAGGGGGATTGCAGGGATCTCTTTACTGGTGCAGGATTCTCTTGCTTTGCCCGTGCTTTGATCTGGGTCACAGTTCCGGGTGGCGGTCCTGGGGCGAGGAGAGGCACTGGCATGGTGGAGCTTGTAGTGGCTGTGGAGAGGAAACCCTCCTCACAGTTCCAAGGCAGAAAAGAGTGCTCATAGACCAGAGCACAGGCCAGGAAAGGAGTAAACACCTTGACCCTGATCATAGAACCTTGGAAGAACTGAAAATTTACAGGTCCCTAGAGGTGTCTCTGAAAACAGCTGCACAAAACCCCTGAAGCTTGGGACAGTACATTCTCCACACTGGAAACAGACTCCTACCTTAACAAAGAGTCTATAACTCAAGTAATCGGCTGAGATCATGAGCAAGCAGCGCAAAAAGAGTCAGACTATATTATCTTACTTTGATGATAAATAAGATCAAAATATACAACCAGAAGAAGACAACGAAGCCAAAGTTCCTATATCCAAAGCCTCCAAGAAAAATATGAATTGGTCCCAGGCCATGGAAGAGCTCAAAAAGGATTTTGAGAAGCAAGTAAGAGAAGTAGAGGAAAAACTGAGAATGATGCTAAAGGAGACCCCAAAAAATACTGATGAAAATAACACCTTAAAAAATAGCCTAACCCAAATGGCAAAACAGGTCCAAAAAGCCAATGAGGAGAAGAATGCCCTAAAAAGCAAAATTGGCCAAATGGAAAAGGAAGTCCAAAAGCTTACTGAAGAAAATACTTCCTTAAAAATTAGAATGGAGAAATTGGAAACTAGGGACAATTTGATAAATCAAAGCACTGTAACACTAATCCAAAGGAGTGAAAAAATAGACGAGAATGTGAAACATCTCACTGGATAAACAACTGACCTGGAAAACAGATCCAGGAGAGAGAACTTGAAAATTATTGGACTATCTGAAAGACATGATCAAAAAAAGAGCCTAGACATCATCTTTCAAGAAATTATCAAGGAAAACTGCCCTGATATTTTAGAACCAGAGGGCAAAATAGAAATTGAAAGAATCCACCGATCACCTCCTGAAAGAGATCCCCAAAGGAAAACTCCTAGGAATGTTGTAGCCAAATTCCAGAATTCCCAGGTCAAGGAGAAGATCTTGCAAGCAAGCCAGAAGGAAACAATTCAAGTACTGTGGAAACACAATCAGGATAACACAAGATTTAGCAGCTTCTACATTAAGGGTCCGGAGGGCATGGAGTATGATATTCTGGAGGGCAAAGGAGTTAGGACTACAACCTAGAATCACCTATCCAGCAAAACTGAGTATAATCCTTTAGGGTAAAAATGGTCATTCAATGAAATAGGGGAATTCCAAGCATTCCTGTAGAAAAGACCAGAGCTGAATAGAAAATTTGACCTTCAAATACAAGACTCAAGTGAAACATGGAAGAGGTATACAGGAAAGAGAATTCATAAGAGACTTATTAAGGTTGAACTGTTCATACTCCTGCAGGGAAAGATGATATTTATAACTCATGAGTCCTTTGTCAGTATTAGGGAAGTGGGAGGCAAAAAAATTATATGTACGTATAGATAGATAGAGGGCACAGGGTGAGTTGAAGATGAAGGGGTGATATCTGGAAAATAAAATTAAGGAGTGACAGAGGATTATACTGGGAGAAGGAGAAAGGGAGAAGTAGAATGAGGTAAAATATCTCACATGAAACAGACAAGAAAAGGCTTTTACAGTGGAGGGGAAATGGGGGAAGGTGAGAGGGAATGAGTGAATCTCATTCTCATAGGATTTGGCTTAAGGAGAGAATAACATACACAATGGGGTATGGAAATCTATCTTACCCTACAGGAAAATAAGGAGGAAAGGGGACAAGAGAGCAGAGGGTTGATAGAGGGGAGGGCAGATTGGGGGAGGGGATAATCAGAAGTAAACACTTCTAAGGAGGGACAGGGTTAAAAGAGAGAGTAGAATAAATGGGGGGGTAGGATAGGATGAAGGGAAATATACTTAGTTTTTCACAACAGGACTACTATGGAAGTGTTTTGCATGACTACACATCTATAACCTGTACCAAGATGCTTGCCTTTTCAAAGAGGGTGGGTGGGGAGGGAGGAAGGGAGAAAATTTGTAAAACCATATGTTAAAAATAAAATTTTTTTTTTAAAAATCATAACAAATACAGATGTATTTGTAAAAATGCTCTAGAAAATTGCAAGCAAAACATAGATTTAGAACTCAAAGGGGCTTAGAGGTCACCTCATCCAACCTTTTCATTTTGTTTGTAAGGAGAGGGGGCCAATGAGTCACCTCATTCCACTTAACTGTAATCTCAATCAGGTGAGAACATATAGCCACTCATCAGTCAAAAGTGTGAACAAGGCTGGGGCATCTTCATTGACTCAATGAAAGACATTTCAAGGGCAGCGACAGGAAGTCTGGTTTGACTGACAGACTTCTCCATGGCCTGTGGGTTGTGGGTAAAATCATCAAGAAGAGGGTTCAAGCACCTA